CCAATAGTTTTTCAAACGACAACTTTGCTCTAGAGCTATTTCTTCTCTCCCTCTTCCTCCCTTGGTGTCATGTGCAGCTTAAATTCATGTTTTTGCAAAGCTTTAAAGCTTGATGAAATAAAGGCCAAAAAACCCCCCAAAAATAACCCAACATAAAGTTGGAACATTCATTGCATAATTGAGCAAGATCAGCCAAGGTTTATGGAAACTTATTCCCCAATAAGTAAATGGTGTGATTCCAGACCTAACAACTAAAGCAACTAATTGCTTTTCCATTTGTAGGGGGCTTGTCATGCATTAAATCATACTTAAACATATAAAATAATCATTGAAAAGGGCTGCTAGTTTTACAGTGTTGAAATGCCAAAGGGAGCTTGTTAGCCACTACATCTTATTATGTGTATGCATTTTGCAATCTGTCTGAGAATGCCAGAGCCAGTTTTGGTTACTATCCCCCCCCCCCCCATGCCTCAAGAGATGGCAACATTCCACTCTTCTTAGATAGAAAAAAAATATTTGAAGAATGGCCTATGTCTTAGGATGAGGAGCTGTTCTTTTTCTTCCTTTCAGATGTTGTATGAATGAATGTTGGGGTCAGGGGGTCAGAGATCATACACACTATTCCCACTCCACATATTTATTTGAATGTCCACATAAGGTCTAGTCACTCATGTCTCTATGCCACCAGGAGCACCAAAGAAGCAGGAGAGAGACCTATGGACCAAGTAGAACTTTAAATGAATACTCCTTACTTTATTATAAAGTTTTAAAGGGGTTTGGGGTTGTAATTTCCACAACATCTAGAGTTTGAGATTCTGATGTTTTACAAAAGAAGCACCTATCTTCTAATATTAAGGGTGAGCGCCATAAGTGAAAATATTAAATGGTATGTTGTCACCTTAAATATTAAATTGATTAGTCTTTAAGATGCCACAAGGCTCTTTCCCCCCTTCATGCCACAGACTCACAAAGCTACCTTTATTGAAATAGGTTGTGAAGCCTGTTTTCTGGAAGTAAGCCCCAGTGAACTTATTGGGGCTTGCTGCTCAGTGAGCATGCATATAATTGCACTGTAAGCATTTTCCCCACTCATTTAGGCTGTCTTTCTAAGTCTCATGTTTGATCCCTTCACTTCAGGCATGATAGACAGTACCAGTCCAGGTATAACTTGCCACCAAGCAAAGGGAGGCCCCAACAGTGGTGCATCCTCAAGTTGGGGGTGTTTGCACCTGATAAATGCTTTCCATTACAAGCAAAACACTATTTCAGCTGCGGTAGGTGACATGCATCTACATAGATAGACTAGTCAGCTAACTAGGATGCTAACTGCTTGGGGTAGATCAAGGGTTGTGAACCTGAGTAGCATTGGTCTCACAAGGACCACTGCTGTATTTTAGGACCCTAGCCTCCCCAGAATTCTCCAGATCTCATCTGACTGCAGCAAGCAAAAAAGATTCAGCATAGCACAGAATTTAGAGGTTTATTCCAGCCTACAGGAAAGGTCTACAAGAAACAAAATTTGGAAAGGTCTGCATAACATTTGGAAAGTAGCAGCACCATGCTTAAACATACACTTCTGCTATTTTTTGCCCCTTATTTCTTGTTGATATTCAGTTTAATAAACCACCAATATAAGCACAGGCAGATGGCTATCTAGAAAAATTCCTTTTCATGTAGAAGCCTTCAGTTTTTTTTGCTACCTTGTTATTATTAAAAAAGAAAAGAGAAGGAAGGAAGGAAGAAACAAACAGCTGGTGTTTAATGACTCTGTCAGACCCAATTAAAAAACATCAACTAGTTACTTTGATTTGTGCTCAGTCATGCCATGGGTATACTTAAAAACATTAGACTCCGCCAGAGCTCATTTTGGCTTTGTTCACATTTATCTTTTATACCTTTAAGGCTATTGATGGCATATAACCAATGTTACAGCCCCTTTCTAGCCATCAATTTTTAATCTAAAAAGATTCTAAGAAGCAGCAAGTCTCATGTGCAGTTACTTGGGCACTTAAACTCCAGAGTATGCATTACTTGTGTACTAGAAGTGGGAGAAGATAAATGATGAAGGCTGTTCAGTTACTCTGCTTCAAAAGCCAAAAATTTTGATCTCAAAATATTTACAATTTCTGCTTAACGCAATTATAGTGCTTTTTTAAAAAACAAGAAAAGAAAGAAAAGAAAACTCATTATAAGGGAAGAAATCAGGCAGTACAAGAAAACAGTTCCTGTAGTAGAATTCCAACCCTGAAAATAAAATATTACTATTTCTGCTGTTCTCAAGCAATGAAACTTCAGTCAGCGGAAAGATGCAGCTATTACTGGACACACCTGCTCTGGGCTTTGCATACTCTCACCAGCTGGAAATGATTGTACCAACTTCTTTTCTCCAACTTCTTTCCTCCAATTTCTCCGCACTCACTGTAAGATGTATGGACTCAGAGATAGGCTTTACTGCCTTTAGTTAAAAAGAATGGCCCATGACTCCATCAGGGAGACTTCCCATCAAATATATGATGGGTGCTGTGCCAACATAGCCTCTAAGCTCCAGAATCCCACCATGCAGTCAAAGTGCTGAACCTTTTAAGGAGGAACCTGGATCTACCCTTGCCAACCTCTCCCACACTGCCTAACAAATTAGCTGCTATTGCTAGTTTTTTTATTTTTAAAAAGTGGTCTAGCAGCCATGCTGAACTTTTTTAAAAAAACGTAACCTACATAAAAATAATAATTATAATAATCTGATACTGATAAAAAGCAGGCAGGCCCCGAGAGTGTGAATTGACAGGGGAGATGCAGATGGTTCCTGTTGCTATCAAAGGCATAATGCAAATATGTAGACTGAATCATATGGGCAGGGGGAGCAGGAGAAAGAGACAAGAATCTGCTTGGAATCCTTTCTTGTCAGATCTTGTAAAATGCAATTGGCCATTTCTGAATCGAGTAAGTTAATAGTTGACATCCTGATGCCATTAGGCTTTACTACAAAATGCCAAGGAGCACTCTGCTAATTCTTGTGTTGTAGAACACATTCCAGTGTTCCATTATTGGTCTTGGTAAGTCTAGAAATCAAAGTACCTATACCTTGTCAATTTGGGCAATCAAATGTGTTTCTATAAATCTGATTACCTTTCCAGGTGTTTTTTTAAAAAAACGATTTCCCAGTTGCACTATCCTCACCCCGCTATAGACATCAGTTGAACAATAAATATTTTGTATGCCTAGAATGTGCTTTCCTTCAGAACCAGATATATGTTCTGATGTTCATAAGATCCAGCAGTAGGTGCGTCTTGTCACAGTGTGTTTTGAAACAAAAACACCCACCCCTTGGTGAAATGTTTGGCGAAAAGTCATATGCATTCAGCCTTTAATGCTTTTATTTGGCTTATTAAGGCTCAGTAACACACAGTTAGCAATTCTTGTTTTAGATTCCTGCATCCTTCCCATGTGTGCTTTGTTTATTTAATTTGCTTGCTTGTTTATTTGTTTGTTTATTTACTTTGCCTAAAACCAGTATGGATTACACAATAAAACAGGCCCTCTCTGCAGGTTTAAATAGATACATTCATATCTTCTTTATCCAAATGTGTTTAAGTAAAAAAAAAAAAAAAGCAATTGTATTAATTTAGGAAGCCAGGGTGAATTGGCATGTCTTACAGAGCTAAACGACTAAACAACAACAACAGAGCTATGTGAGTTTAGCAACACTCAAATATCATATGGATGGTCATGCCAGTGGTGGTAGAGAGCTGAAAGTGAAAGAAAGAGAATGGATAAATCTACTCCCTCATATGATATGGACATAATTTTGTAGACCTTACCCATTTTCCATTCTATTTTTAGGAAGTTGGCAAGTTTTTAGTTTATAATGAACCAATTTACTTGATATATAACACTATACTCCTGATGTCTGTGGAGCAAATGTCCTTCCTAACCAAGAGAAGAATTTAGGAAGACTGTTGTTGTTGTTGTTTAGTCGTTTAGTCGTATCCAACTCTTCGTGACCCCATGGATCAGGGCTCACCAGGCACTCCTGTCTTTCACTGCCTCCCGCAGTTTGTTCAGACTCATGTTTGTAGCTTCGAGAACACCGTCCAACCATCTCGTCCTCTGTCGTCCCCTTCTCCTTGTGCCCTCCATCTTTCCCAACATTAGGGTCTTTTCCAGGGAGTCTTCTCTTCTCATGAGGTGGCCAAAGTATTGGAGCCTCAGCTTCACGATCTGTCCTTCCAGTGAGCACTCAGGGCTGATTTCCTAAAGAATGGATAGGTTTGATCTTCTTGCAGTCCATGGGACTCTCAAGAGTCTCCTCCAGCACCATAATTCAAAAGCATAAATTCTTCAGCGATCAACCTTCTTTATGCTCCAGCTCTCACTTCCATACATCACTACCCGGAAAATCATAGCTTTAACTATATGGACCTTTGTTGGCAAGGTGATAAACTATTTATTTGTTTATTTTTAAAGGTTCACGGATATTAAAGACAACTCAGGAAAACTTGACTTCAACTCACTTTCTCCATCAAAGAAGGAATACTGGTCTATGCTGGCCTACAACCGGTCTAAGTTGTGCAATATTCTTTTATCCAATGAGCTGAACCGCCGCCTTTCTCCCCATGGGGTGACATCAAATGCAGTGCATCCTGGAAATATGATGTACACATCCCTTCATCACAACTGGTGGCTGTTTACCCTGCTGTTTACCTTGGCTCGCCCTTTCACTAAATCCATGGTAAGTGAACTACATTTTATACATCTTTGGATTATTAAGTGTGCTAGATTTTCAGAAATCCTGCTGTAACTTTCTTATTTCAGCAACTTTCATAACTGCTAACTTCAGCAGTGGCTACCATAACCATGAAACTCTGAAGAAAAGAGTCTGCATTTCTAGCTTGCTTTGATTGCTTTTTGATAGACAGTTGTGCATTTTCAGTGTCATGCAATTCTGTGCATATATGTTGTGTACAGTGTGAATATCAAGTGAGTCTTTGCTGAGGGGTGGATCAGAAATGTGAGAGAAGAGAGAGGTGGAACTGCATATAGCATTATGCTTGGGAGATGCTATAAAGATGGGATGAGTAGAAGAAAAATAAATGCTGACATCTTTTTGAAAGCAAAACAACAACAACTCTGAAATATATGAATGATTAACTCCATAGCATCTCATTGACTTTCATAACATCTAAAATTTGGAGCTGTTTTCATATACTTGCTACAGTTCTGCCTTAAAACAAAATGTTTGTGTTGGCACCTAGGGAAGCAGAAAAGTATCAAATCTTAAGGCTGCAAGAGCTTAGCAGATGTTTCAGTGAACGGAATTTTCAAATTCTTTAGCATTAAAAATAGCTAGAAATCTGAGGTGCTTGGGTTACACTTTCTGTTTCGGTGCAGAGCCAACCATTGTGCTTGAGTTTTAACAGATGTGCTGTTCTTTTTTTTCAAGTGGATGGGAATATAACACTACTACTGCTGTGTAGTTATAAATTATAATCAGAAAACATTCTTAACCTTAGATAGGTATAGTGAAATAATTGTATGCTCGAGCAATATGCCTGCATGTATATGCCCCAGTGCCACTCAGAAGATCCATGGTGGTAAGAAGATTAAAGCATATATATTTCTTGCTGGATTGGTCAAGTGAGATACACATTTGGATACACCTGAATATTTATCTGACTGATAAAGGTGAGATATACTGTCCTGAATAGATACTAAATACTTTTTTTAAATGAAAGCTCAGATTCTGGGCGTACCTGCCCAGGGGAATTCCTAGAAACCTTCATGGGCACCTTGTTTATATCATCCATAAACAAATCTCCTGATTCAGTAGAATTGCTCAGATATGTTATGATAGTTTAAAGGAGGATTTAAAAAGCAATACTTTTAAAAAATCCTGCTTTATTATTTCCAGTCTTTTCATTTTTAGCACACCTATGACTTTACCTACCACCTACTAAAGCTGACAGTACTTAAGTAGTGAACACATGGTGCAGTAGATTCATGAATGGCACCCAATATGCTTACCTTTCCTTAGCTGAATGCCAGCTTGTTCTCCACCTTCTTTTTTAATTAAACTTTAAAATGAACAATGAAGAGCAAGAACAGAGAAACACTTGAGATTATTGGCTTGGAAGAAAATGATCTGCACCCTAGAGAAAGCCAATTGCACATAAGCAATTCCCCAGTGGATCATATTTAGCCTGGGTGTCAGCACAAAACTCTTGACATTGAATCCTCCCTCACAGACCAAGTCATCAAACCATCTTTGATCATGCTTTATGCAACAGCAGTTTCAGTTATTAAACCTCCTACAGGGTCTGCTGCTGGCAGGCTAAACCACTGTTATTTCTTTTTTTAAAAAACCCCCAGCCAGGATCAATCCAAATAGAGGCAGAAATCTTGAAATCCCTTGTTCACAGTGGGCACCACTGAAGTGGTTTTGAGGCTGTATTCTGGCAGTTCAGGATGCCAGTTCATACTGAAGTAATTAAAGTTATGCGCTCTAAATGGTATAACTATTTTGATTCTAGTTAGCTTGTAGGCAGATCTCAAGTACGGAAGAGCTTGCATTAAACTTCAAAGTGTTAGTGAAGTAGTGGGGAACCTGCCCTCCTCAGTTCTTACCCTTTGTTTTTGGACTTCAACTCCTGTCATCACCAGCCTGCATGGCCAATGGTCAGGGCTTATGGAAGTTGCAACTACTGAAGGGCCACAGGTTCTCCCCCCCGGTTTAGTGTATAATATTTTCACTATTGGTAATTTGGTAACTTAAATATAATATCTTACCAAAGTTGTTCAGTCCTCACAAAAGTAAGATGTTTAGTCAAATACTCAAGAAATCAAAAGTCACATGCAAGGAACCAGGAGAACCAGTCAAACATACAAAAAGCTGAAGAGAAAAGTAAGTTTTTCCAGAGAGTAAAAAAGTTCAGGGACTTAGCTACATCGGTCAAATTAAAGGTAAAGGGACCCCTAACCATTAGGTCCAGTCATGACCAACTCTGGGGTTGCGGCGCTCATCTCGCTTTATTGGCCGAGGGAACCGGCGTACCGCTTCCGGGTCATGTGGCCAGCATGACTAAGCTGCTTCTGGTGAACCAGAGCAGTGCACGGAAATGCCGTTTACCTTCCCACCTGAGTGGTACCTATTTATCTGCTTGCACTTTGACGTGCTTTCGAGCTGCTAGGTTGGCAGGAGCAGGGACCTAGCAACGGGTGCTCACCCCGTCGCAGGGATTTGAACCGCCGACCTTCTGATCGGCAAGTCCTGGGCTCTGTGGTTTAACCCACAGCACCAGCCGCGTCCCTAATTGGTCAAATTACAATATTATAAATGTGTTATAACACTGTGACACCAGATGGTGTTGTAGAGCTGAAATCACAACTCAATGATATTTTCCATTGTGAGCTTTACGACTTTTTCAAAAAGAGCGTTTTCAGAGTGGTTTTTTTATAGCTTGGTAGATCTAGCCCCAGTCATCACAGGCTGAAGGCATAGCTGGCCTGGAGGGCAGGATGACTTCTGCCTGTCATGGCCAGCAGGAGGAACAACCCTAATGAGAAAAGTCATCCATCCCTATCACAACCTAAAAATTCATGGTCAGTAAGAATTTCCATTTTCCTACATTTCCTAAGAGCTGGAGCTTGCAGAGGAGCAATTCCAAATAGGTTTCCCCCTTAGACATGATATGGTTTCACACACTTGGGTGCATAAACTTACATCTGTCTGTATAGCTGGAGGTCAACTGAACAATAATATGTAGAAGGTTTCTTAAAGTGTGCTTTGTGTCATGATATTGATACTTCTTCCTGACCTTTAGGAATGGCTGGCCTGCTTTACCTAACTCTGGTCTTTATTTCTGTTCATGCCATCTTTGTAAAAGTGCCATACCGCTTTAAACCTTTTCCCAATCAGTTTCATATGATGGGTTCTCTTTAATCATTTACATTCTGGGGAAAGTCAAATATTCCATAAGAAGCCAAAGTAATCTAGCTGAATATATAGTGTTTGTGCAGCTGGATATTTTATTTATTTGAAGTATTGCGAGAACTCTCTTCTGACTTTACAGAAAAAAGGATGACGAGTAAACAGTAAGAGGGTCCAAGTAATCTGAACCTGAAAGTCCCTTCTTTTAGAGCAAAGTCATAACATTTTCCATCTTCCAAAAAAGAAAAAGAAGTCTACAAAGCTATATAATGCTCTTATAGTACTGCTGTTTTTTTCTTACTTTGATCAGTCTTTAAAAGTGTTGATATTACCAAATAGAAAAATAATAATTACTGTCTATTCTATGATATTTCATTCATCATTACTTATATTTTTTGGCTAGGCACAATACTCACATAACATTAACATTTTAAAATGAATTTTCCTTGCCCTTTTCTGCTCTCTTTCTGTTCTGTTCTTTCACTAAATGTCTTAAGATGTTTATATATCCCATCTTCTTTCAGAGGTATTAAAGCTGTTCAATACTCTGATTGAAATACAAGATATTTTGAACTACTGTTCCATATTTTTAAAAATAAAAGATGCAGGGAATGTGTGGTCATAACTCTTAGTTTGTGCATAGTGCAATCCAAGCATGGGTGCCAACTTGGAAAACAAAATTGGGGGGCCCAGGTAAGCCCCAACCCACATAATTGATCACATGATGCAAGGCACACACACCATCTGAATGGTAATGCCCATCAACTTTTGGGGGGAAGCTCCCTCTAATATTTTAGGGGGGGTGAAGGGACCTCAGCCCCTAGGAGTTGGTTTTTAATTTTCAAGTTTCTTTTTTTAAAATTTATACCCTGATTTTTGATGAGCCTGCTCCACAAAGCAGATTACAGTGTGAAATATACAAATACAACACACACAAATAATAAGCCGAATAAATTGTTTATTATTATTGTTTTGCTGTTCTTTGAACCTTGTTAGTGGAAAGGCATATATATCATTGTAATAGTAATGAATCATTCCCAGCAAAGATTCAGGTACAGCCACTCACAGCTATGGCCCGGCACTAACTAAGACTCTCTTGCTGATTGTTCATAGCTGCATTGACCCACCAACATACAGCAGTCCTCCATCTGGCCCCTGAGTTTAAATATCTAGAGACAAAGGAGTGCTTGCTAGCTGGGTTTTGTCTGCTGTTACTCTTGGCATGTACAGTAATACTCAGTATCACATTTCGGTGTCTCCTTACTGCTGACATTCACTAATCACCTTCAGTGATTAGTGTTGTTGTGTTTGAACAACCTTCAGCTTATTTGAACTAAGCCGAAATAAGTAAAAGGTGGATTCAGTTTAGTACATTTGAACTTAAAACAGAAAATGCATACAACAAAATAAAACAAATAGAAGAAAAGAAAAATAATCTCACAAATTTTGTTGATGTGAAAAAAGTTCACTACCTTCCTCTAAAGACTGTTGTGTGATCTTATCTAAGATGATTTATCATGTATGTTGAAATGATTGATCCTGTTTGGCCTTTTCATTCAATTATGAAAGAAAAGGGAATAAATATTACTGAATTGATCACTCAGTGTTCAATATATAAATATGGATTTATCCTGTCCATTACTTATTTCAAGTATTGTGGAAATATTGATTGCAAAACACACACAACCGTAATGCACTTTAAAACTTTCCAGTTCAGGTATGCATATTGCTTTGGATTTTTTGGGAGGGGAGGGCTGTCAGAGTAAGAAGGAGACATTTGTGTATCATTTTATTTTTCTGCTTTCTAGAGTTTTTAGATTAGTCATATCAATCTCTTCTTGGCAGTTGGATGACAAATATAAAGATCATAGTCAAATTCCATCCATTATTTTAGTGAAAACATATATATTTGCAGTTAATACCAATATTGATATAGCAAACTCTTCTGTGCGTGCCAGAAATCCATATACAGTACTTGAGGAATTATATTAATTGGAAAAACATTCCATAGAAAAGAGATAAATATAACAGTCACATTTAAAATAAGTCATTTTTTATGTATACAAAGAGCTGTTCCTGTAGAAAACTCTTGTATATTTATCTTCAATATATATGGTCCGGCTAACAGCATTGCATGTTTCTGAAATAGTAACGAATTCCAGGCATAATCTTTATTCCTCCTTATTTTGGATAGGCTATATACTATTTCCTACCATATTTATTTCTCCCTTTCTTGTTAGCAAATTGGCATCTCAAGGTGACTGATATAGAGTGGTTGGTTTACAGTAGGCCATGGCTAGTGCCTGTATTTCCATACCAGCTGTAAATACCGTCTATCCAACACTTATATGGCCAAATCACCTTTCAATAAAGATTTTTAACTTTTGAAACTTATGAAACCAAGAATATAACATGGTGCCATATGCAGTTGGAAGTATTGGTTATCCATTGTGCATCTTCTATCACACAGGTGGAGGGGATTCAGCACATTAAGGCACCACTTCTCAGTACAATGGTACCTTGGGTTGCGGACAGGATCTCTTCTAGAGGTCCGGTTGGATCCCAAGGTTTCTGCAACCTGAGGACCACTTCTGCGCATGCGCAGACCGCTTCTGCACACGTGCGTGCAGCGAAACCTGGTAAAATACTTCTGGGTTTGTCGCGCGTGCATCCCAAAGTTTACATAACCAGAGGTTTACGTAAACGGAGGTTTGACTGTAGTTGGGTAGCACAACACTTGAGAGTTTGTCAAGAACTGAGGTAGAAGATGGCAAGGGTGGAAATGAGGGGTTGGTGGTTGAGTAAATCTAGGTTCTGTTATAAACTCACAGTGCTGGTAATGTACAACTGAGTAACAGAACACATGGTTAGGGAATCAGTTTGTGTGCCCCTCTCTCCACCTTACCTCACAAACTTGCTGTAATATTTAAACACATTGCATGCATGCCCATTCCATTGATCCTAGGTGCAATATGTGTGATATTTAGCTCTGTATTTTAGGAATTAAAATATCATACCTACTCACATTAGATTAGATTATTTAATTTCTATACCTCTTAATATATTAAAAATATCTCTAAACAGTATTCAGAAAACTGAAGCAAAAACAGACAACTTAATCAAAATATTTCAAAAATACAGTTCCATATTAAAATGTTACATTAATGCAGAGTTACTAATATATTAATCAATATAAATTCATTTTCCTTCTGACACACCCTCCCTCTCACCCTCCGGGTTCTAACCTAGGGTTCAGCAAATTCTCAGCTCACCTGTCAGGATGTCACCAGAAGGTGTGCTGTCTTCCAGGTGTGAATTACAATGAACATAATTAATGTTGCATAGCACCAGGGCATTTTTTCAGGTGGAGCTCACTGGAACTCAGGTGGAGCTCTCAGGTGGGCACTATTGCCATTATAAGAGTTCATGGTGAGTTCTGGCATATCTTTTTCTAGAAAAATAGCACTGTCACCTCCATTGGACTTCATGCTGAAATAAGAAATGGGTCTCTATCACTGAAAGCTGGATATAAAGAGTCAGCAAGGATACAGAATAGAAGAGATAATTGCTACAAGGTTATGGACAAGTTTCCATTACACCCTTTTCATGGTAGGCACTACATGACCTGAGTTCCAGTTGTCAGCACTCTACAGAGAAATTGATCCTATGGAGGCCGAGAGATTTGTATGCATTAATACTAAATATGCCACTGGAATTTTGTGAAAAGCCGCTCCAAGAGTCTGCCAGTATGTGCAGAATTGTGGGTGTGATACTAGATATATACAACTGGCTAGAGATGAGTGTGTGTATCACCTTCCACACTGGAACACATTGGTAGTATGAATAATATTCTCAAGGCTGCAAAGTTTATTGCTTCTGACTTTCTCACTTTCCCCATCAATTCTACTCTGACTTAAAACAATTTTAATTGCATGCTGTTCAGATACAAAAGTGGGCATTATTGTGTGTCTGCCAAGTTGATCCCAAAATTTATAACCCCAATGAAACTTCCCTTATTGATGGGTACACAAACAGTCCCAACAAATATTTCATGGTTGAGCTGAAGGTTAATGGAGTCATCAACAGAGCCTTTGATATCTTCTTGTGATTTTGAAGACCTGGAAAATATGCAGTAGGTGTAGATTTTGTATCTTTCCCCTTGTCAGTGGGTAAAAATCACCAGAGGAAAATGGCCAGAGGAAAAAGGATGAAGCAGTCCTTTTCTCAACATTCTTCCACTCATGAACATAGCCTCTAAGTCTGCTCATCATTAATATCATCAGTAATAATGATGATGTCTGGAGAGAATTATTACTATCTGGAGAGAGTAGCACATGGCAGCTCACAAGTAGTTTGTCCAGGTCTGGGTTTCAATATACATGTGTCCTACAGATACAGTTGTTCAAAAGAGAGGATTGGGTGCTCCGCAGCTAGCCATAGTTCGGTACTGTGTGATGTGTGTGACAAAGTCCTTAGATTATATAATATGAATTTTTTTATCTCAACTATTATTCATGATTAACTAAAGGAAGTTTTTGTGCTAAGAATTACAAATGTGTGTTTTCATGACAAGGAGAAAGGTAGACTTATAAATCATAATATAAATCTGATAGATTTATGAATGAATGTTCTTGGTTTTTAGTAGTTCGGATACTTAAATTTTGGGGTGGGGGAAATGCCTCTTAGATTCTTTCAAAAATAAAAGGAAGAAGATTTTCTCTCTCTACTTCAGAGACACATATTACTCTGCCAGCTTGAATAACCGGCCATGTTTCAGCCCCAAATGTCAAAAATAAACAGATGAAAGTGTGTGTTATATTTTTACACTGTTGTCAGATGCTATTGGTTTGTCTTTTTCAGAGTCCTATTTATTTCAGTAAATGCTGTTACCTCCGCAGCTCTACTTTCTTAGACTTCCATCAGAACCGTTCTCTTGAGGTCAAATAAATGAATTATCAACTTTTTTTAATCCCTGTTATCCATTTTGCTGCTGACACTTAGAAGTTCCCTGGTTATTTATTTATTTTGTTTGTTTTCTGTAGTAGAGCAAAGCCACCAGATCATAATGTTAACTGTCACTTTTTGGAAAACAGAGGCTGATGCATCTTCAGCCTGAAAGTGAGGCTAGGAACAATATACCCCTTTTGCTTGTGATACAACATGCATTTTATTAAATTATGAACTAGCCAAGGCAGAGTGAATTGAATGCTGAATTTTTAAAATGAGATCACTTCCAGCTAGCCAAGCCACACTCTGCTCTTTGCCAATAGATTTAGTCCTCATATACACGTTCAGTACAAGTAGAATTACCACTTTCCAGTTCTCAAAGCCAAATGGCCTAATTAGCATTTTTTGCTAATTGTTGCTGATTAAAAAAATTAAGTAATGGTTTAGGAAAGGGCTAAGCAACCCCCCCCCCCCGATTTTCCACCCCAAATTATCTCCATCAAATGGGGCAACAGTTTCTTCAAAGGCCTTTAGATCAGTTTAGTTTGGGTCCATCGTGCCAAAAATTGGGTGAAGTCATGCCAAAGTAAAAAAAGCAAATTACCCAGCTTCAACAAGATTCTGGTTCGATTGCTACCTTTTGTTTGAGGAGGGAAGTGAACGTGTTGGAGCCCAATCACAGCTATGTTGTAATCCTATATTTCTCTATTGTATCCTGTGGGCATCTCTACTTTAGGGTACACTTGAATTTTGATCTTTCTGGTCGTGCAAATATTTTGAGTGGTCCTTTGCAGTCCTAGAACCCATCTCCGTGGGGTTTGCAGATAATAAATAATAATAATAATAATTTATACCCCGCCCATCTGGCTGGGCCTCCCCAGCCACTCTGGGCAGCTTCCATAGAAACCAAAAATACAGTAAAATATCACACGTTAAAAACTTCCCTGAACAGGGCTGCCTTAAGATGTCTTCTGAATGTCAGGTAGTTGTTTATCGCTTTGACATCTGCTGGAAGGTCGTTCCACAGGGCGGGCGCCACTACCGAGAAGGCCCTCTGCCTGGTTCCCTGTAGCTTTGCTTCTCGCAATGAGGGAACCGCCAGAAGGCCCTCGGCGCTGGACCTCAGCGTCCGGGCATAACGATGGGGGTGGAGATGCTCCTTTAGGTATACTGGACCGAGGCCGTTTAGGGCTTTAAAGGTCAGCACCAACACTTTGAATTGTGCTCGGAAACGTACTGGGAGCCAGTGTAGGTCTTTCAAGACCGGTGTTATATGGTCTCGGCGGCCGCCCCCAGTCACCAGTCTAGCTGCCGCATTCTGGATTAGTTGTAGTTTCCAAGTCACCTTCAAAGGTAGCCCCACGTAGAGTGCATTGCAGTAGTCCAAGCGGGAGAGAACCAGAGCATGCACCACTCTGGCGAGACAGTCCGCAGGCAGATAGGGTCTCAGCCTACGTACCAGATGGAGCTGGTAAACAGCTGCCCTGGACACAGATTTGACCTGTGCCTCCATGGACAGCTGTGAGTCCAAAATGACTCCCAGGCTGCGCACCTGGTCCTTCAGGGGCACAGTTACCCCATTCAGGACCAGGGAATCCTGCACACCTGCCCGCCTCCTGTCCCCCAAAAACAGTACTTCTGTCTTGTCAGGATTCAACCTCAATCTGTTAGCCGCCATCCATCCTCCAACCGCTTCCAGACACTCACACAGGACCTTCACCGCCTTCACTGGTTCTGATTTAAAAGAGAGGTAGAGCTGGGTATCATCCACATACTGATGAACACCCAGCCCAAACCTCCTGATGATCTCTCCCAGCGGCTGCATGTAAATGTTGAAAAGCATGGGGGAAAGAACAGAACCCTGAGGCACCCCACAAGTGAGAGCCCAGGGGTCTGAACACTCATCCCCTCCCCACCACTTTCTGAACACGGCCCAGGAGGAAGGAGCGGAACCACTGTATGACAGTGCCCCCAGCTCCCAACCCCTCAAGACGGTCCAGAAGGATGTTATGGTCGATGGTATCAAACGCCGCTGAGAGATCCAGCAGAACTAGGAAACAGCTCTCACCTTTGTCCCTAGCCCGCTGGAGATCATCAACCAGTGCGACCAAGGCAGTTTCAGTCCCATGATGAGGCCTGAATCCCGACTGGAAGGGATCCAAATGGTCCGCTTCTTCCAGGCGTGCCTGGAGTTGTTCAACAACCGCTCGCTCAATCACCTTGCCCAAGAATGGAAGATTTGAGACTGGGCGATAGTTGGCCATCGTGGCCGCATCTAAAGATTTTTTTTAAGAAGCGGTTTAATAACCGCCTCTTTCAGCGGGTCTGGGAAGGCTCCCTCACGGAGGGAAGCATTCACCACCCCACGAAGCCCATCGCCCAGTCCTTCCCGGCTAGCTTTTATAAGCCAGGATGGGCAAGGATCCAGGAGACAGGTGGTTGGTTTCACTCGTCCAAGCAGCCTGTCCACATCCTCGGAGGTAACAGATTGGAATTGATCCCACTCAACTTGACTAGACAAAACTCTAGCACTCTCCCGCCCTGGCCCTGCTCCCACGGTGGAGTCTACTTCTTCCCAAATCTGAGCGATTTTATCTGCAAAAAACTTTGCAAAATCATTGCAGGAGAACATGTGGCCCGTACTGGGCCCCGATGTTGCAGGTGGTTCCGCTAAATTGTGAACCACCTGAAAAAGTCTCCTGCTGCTGTTTTCTGCAGATGCAATAGAAGCGGTGAAGAAATTCTTCTTCGCCGTCGCTATCGCCACTTGGTAGGCTCGACGTTGAGCTCTAACCTGTGTCCGGTCTGATTCGGAATGAATTATCCGCCACCGGCGCTCTAGCTGTCACAACGATTGTTTCATTGCCCTCAGATCCGTGGAAAACCATGGGGCTGTCCGGGCTCCATGCAGTCGGAGAGGGCGCTTTGGAGCCGAACAGTCAATAGCCCTGGTTAACTCCACATTCCAGCGGGCCACCAGGGAATCAGCTGAAAGGCCATCAACATGGGATAAAGCATCCCCTACCACTCTCTGGAAACCATTTGGATCCATTAAGTGGCGGGGGTGGACCATCCGAATTGGTCCCACCTCCCTGCAGAGGGGATGGGTCGCAGAGAAGTCCAGTTGCACCAGGAAGTGATCTGATGGCACTTCTTTCGTTTCACTTTTACTTAATGTCAGATCACCAACATCCATAGAGGTGAACACCAGGTCCAAGGCATGTCCACGGCTATGGGTTGGGCCAGATTTATTCAGGGACAGCCCCATGGAGGCCATGCTTTCCACGAAGTCCCGAGCGGCCCCTTGTAAGGTCGTGTCGGCATGGATGTTAAAATCCCCTAGGACGACCAAGCTAGGTGTCTCCAGGAGAACATCCGCCACGACCTGAAGCAGCTCGGGCAGGGAATCCTTGGTGCAGCGGGGAGGTCGGTACACCAAAAGGAATCCTGTACTGCCCCTATTGCCCAACTTCCAGAACATGCACTCGGAAAACTGGGTCTTCCCAATAGGACGCCTGGTGCAAACTAATGACTTCCTAAAAATCACTGCAACCCCCCCTCCCCGCCCACATGACCTGGGTTGCTGTGCGTAAGAGAAACCTGGTGGACAAGCAGCGGCAAGGACCGGCCCATCTGCTTCATCCAACCAAGTCTCTGTTACACATGCCAGGTCAAGTCCTCCATCCATGATCAAGTCATGGATGGCAGTGGTCTTATGTATCATTGACCTGGCATTGCACAGCAGCACCTTCAGGTCATGTGGGTATCCCTTGCTGATTCTAGTATCCAAACGGTCAGGACCAGACCCGGAGGCAGGAATAGTCCTCAGACAACGACTAAACCTGCCACCTCTGTAATGACATGGTCTAGTCTTAGCATAACTCCTCCTCCTACGCGTGATCACTGAGATCGGTTGTCCCAGTGCATCCCCCCCTGTGGAACATGCCCCAGCCATTTTGTGGGCTGGGACCCACACCTCGGCAGCCCTGACCCCTCCCCTTAAGAACAAAATAGCACCTTAAACAAACAAACAAACAAACAAACAAACAAAACCAATAAAACAATACAAACAAAAAACTGTAAAAATTACAAAAACATCAAAATCAAAAAAATTCCCCAAGCCCAACCAAACATCCATCCCACCCCCACCCCCACATACAAAAAATCCAAAAAAATTTTTTAAAAACATTTTAAAAACACTCTGTGCCCCTCCGGCAGTAACAGCAACTGTCCTAGTGAGGCCTGTCAGGCCCCGCCCTGGGCCAGGTGGTAAGTGGCAAGAGCAGGGCCCTCAGGCACTCACTCAGGGGAGTCCTCCCGGGCAGCAGGCAGCAAGCAGTAAGCAGTCCTTGTGAGGCTTCAGGCCCCGCCCCAGGCCAGATGGTAATAAAAATCAAGAAAGGAATAGTCCACCATATAAAAGTTTCTTAAGGTATTAATTGTAAATGCTTACATGAGGCTAAAGACACTCCAGGTTGGGATCTACCATTTTGTGTGTTCATTGAGACCTGTTGCTATAGGGGTTCAAAACAAAAAAACAGACAAACCCCAATTTGCTGTAAAATACTATGCTTCCTCGTTAATACTCATTATTTTATTTTAAAACATTTGCATATATTACACAATACATCTAGTCTTAAAGAGTGTAGAAAGATAGGTTTTCCTACAAAATGTTCCATTTTTGTTTGTATGATCTTGAATTATGAATTACAGCAGTTCTTAATTCTTTATTTTTCAGGAATCTGAGGATCTTTTTTAAAAGTCCTTTCAGCATAGCATTTATGCAAGAATAACTACTCTTGGATTCAATTGCGTTTAAGGAAATGTTGTTGTATGGCTTTTTATGTTCCGAACTTCAATCAGCCAGTGCCAGCAGTATCCCTAAAGAAACACCCTCAATAGACCATTTTCAGCATTTTGCTGCAATTAAACTCCTCTGGTTTTAGCCCTCAGGCAATTTAGTACCTTTTTACATATGCACATTATGAACTTTTGACCAGGGCCTGGTAGTCATATATTAGAGAGCAGCTTTTGAAAGCAGACTTAACAAGTTCCTCTGAGTATTACATTCCGAGTCAGTTGTGGAAAAGGTAATTTAACCAACTTGCAGAGAGGCCATTCAGAATCTTACTGATGATCCTAAATATGTCTCCCTCTCTCTTTGCCCCCCCCTTTCTTGTTTCCTCTGGAAGCTGGTAGCAAGAGCTCTCAAAGTATGTGATTGATCTTTTATTCAGTAGCTAACGAGGGCTGTGATTCTATTAGTGCTCTACAAGGCAAGGGAACAGTGATTTAATGAAGTGTCTGGTGAGCTGGTCATAGATTTATCCTGTTGTCTCTAATTTGCAGAGCCCTTGCGAGTGGTAAAAGAAACTGCACTCACGCTGCCATTAGGCAGGTATTTCCTTAGTAAATTGTTGTAAGGTCAGGTGTAGTTACCTTAGTGGAGACAATGCCTTACCTCCTCAGTGTCTCCAGATGACAGCCGCTGCACTAAGCACTCACTGAAGCAGAAACACGGAGATCAGAGGTCCATTCCGAGTCCCCCTTAGCCAATGCTTGAGCAGATGAACTGCCAAGTGCAGCTAATAGAGTCATAATTGGTGATTAGAACTGGGAAGGCACAATGACATCTTAATACAAACTGGTGCGTACTGTAGTTAGTGCCAGCTGTTGTTAAGTGTGTTGGTGTGGACTAATATGTGTTTTCTCTGCTTCAGTTCTAAGCAATTAGGCGACACATCTTTAATAGTTATTGAGCAGCCAGAAAATAAAGGGTGGTGGTTGCGGGAGAAAATCCTAGGCCCATCAAAATGGCATTCATGTGCTTATTGTACACTTAGCACAGCATATAAGCTGTCAGCATTAGCTCTGAAATGATGCAGTAAAAAGTTGGCATAAAGAGCAGAAATCTAATAAATATGGTGTGGTGCTTTTTTTCTTCACCAGTGGCAGAGCTTTTATTCTTCACTGTTCCCAGGGATCATTGATCCCCCCCTCCCCCAAATGAGCCATTTCCTTTCTGATGAATAACTATCCTGCTGCAATTTGCTGTTTTACCAAAGCTGGCACTGGAAGCTTCTGTACCTGAATTAACCACAAATTAGTTTTGGTTAAGGGCAGAGTGTTAGGTTGGAGTAACTGGTATATAAGGCAAACATGGAAACTGTTGAGACCAGAATCGAAGGGCTTCTATTGTTGTAACAATTTTTAATCCTTTGTTCTTGTGCACCAAAATGGTACTTGGGAAGAAGCACATGAATGAGCTTCTGTAGCTCATTAGTGTTAGTAGCTACACAGAATTGGTTAATGTGGCCTGATTGCTTTCCACTTAATTCTTTCATTTATTTCATGTTTATTCCATCTTTCATGTATTTATTTGCTAATTACATTTATATTCCATTCTTCTTCCATCATGGAACTCAATATGGCATGCATGGGTTTCCTGGCAGCCTCCCATTCAGACCCTGATCTGACCCAGACCTGTTTAGATTCAGCAATGTTCCTATATCATGGGCCTTCATATCATAGACTACAATCAAAGATCTCAGAGCAATGTGCATGATATTTCCATACTCTCACTCCAAATTTAACTTCACAAGCCTATGACGGAAATCAGACTGGAATAGAGTGTGACTGGTGCAAGGTTACCAAGCAGTTTTCATGGCTTTTGTGGGGATTTGAGCCCTGATTTCCCTAGCCATAGTCTGACACTTTCAGCACTACATCATTGTAGGTCTCATAAGTGTGACAATAGCTTGCCATTTGCTTTTCCTATCTTTGATCTTAGTATCTTATTTTTACATCATTTTCTTCCTAAGAACTGTGCTATGTAACCTGAAGGATGGTACTGCCAGACAATTTAGATCTTTAGTAAGTGACATTTGAATTTATGTGATGTGCTATTTAATTTGTTGCTTGCTGTTTGTGCCAAAGGATCCCTGGTTTTTGGCCCCCATGAAAAGAACTGTAATTTTTATATGTCAGTTCTGGGGGGAAAGGGAATAGGTGTGGGAAATCAGTCAAATAATTTGCATGTAGTTAAGGCGGGCTGTACAATGTGCTTGCTAAATAGTAAGATTCCCAACTTGCACATGTTTTTACTGGGATGTCCTTAGCATAGTCTCCTCCTGTGCTGAACTAGTATGGCACAGTATATTGTCATATAGCAGATCAAGCAGAAATCCTGCTTCTGTGGATTGGCATCTTGACAATTAGCTTTCTGTGAATTTTAATTGTAAGCTGCTTTGGGAGCCAATCTTGACTGAAAGACTGAAATCTTTCTTGTTTCTGCAAACCTTATGAAATTCAGTGCACTTTTCCTTCTGTAAATGCCGCCCCCTGCAATTTCTGTAGTTATATTTCAAAGGGAACTATTTGAAACAAGGAGCCATGTTGTATGGACTGCACTACTACAGATTGCAAGTGTTGTTGGGAGTGGGGGACCTAACTGAATGCATCCTGAGTAAGAGAGATTCCCTGCATGTACAATATTAGCTTTATCAGAGAACAATCAATACTGGAACTTTTTTTCTTGACGTTTAGGATGCACAAGAAGAGCATTCAAACATGTAGTTCCTTAATCTGTTATTTTAAGTAGTATAGTCCAAGAATGGTTTTATCATCTTCCCTGGTGTGTGTGTGTGATGGAGAAAATCGTTCAAGGGGAAAATGGTGAATGTCACTGAGAATGTGTTTTTATTTATCATTAAAACTTTTATAGGCGGCACTTCCCCCTTATGGATACAGTGGGCATGAATAAAATTAAATATGCCACAAAAATGCAAACAGGAAACAATCATATTAAAACAATGAGAGGCAAACGAAAACAATAAAATCATTCTAAAATAATATTATCAGGAACACAGATAAGTTTTGACCTGGCCCTGAAACAATTGTAAAATCACTGGGTTGTGCTGCTAGGGGGAGGTCCTTCAAAATGAAGGAAGCCACCATAGAGAAGACTGCGCTTCTTGTAAGGCTTTGTTTTCTGTACTTTTTTCTTCCTACTTATTTCTTAATATTACAATCAAGTTAGGAATTTGTTACCAATTAAGTAAAATTTGCATATTGCAGTCTGGCAAAGACCTTGAGCAGTTTTACACTGAACTTCTGTGAAGCTAAAATGTATCTCCAGATAAAACTAAATGGTCAGCAAGAGGATTCAAAACAAGTTAACTAAAGTTTCTAATTTTCTAATAATGTCACTTGTGTCTTTTGCAATCTTATTATAGTATTTTCTAGCACACTTCCATATCATCATTGTCATTTTAAAAAGTTCTATGATGGGACTAGAAGTCTAAGCCTTTTAGCCCATAGATCATTTCACTAGGAAACTCCATAAATGGCTTATTGTAGATTAGATGATGTGGTTCAGAGCACATCCAAATCAATAAAAGATCAGTCTTAACCTAGCAAAGTGCTCTTACTTTGATTCTTCTTAGTAAGCAACCAATGTGAAAATGTATGGTTAAGTGTTTTGACTTTTTTTGAAGGGGGTGTAGAACACTGAAACTTTAAGTATTCCTAATTCTTAAATTTCTATAATACCCCTTTCTTCTAAAAAGGCCCCAGTTCCTTCAGATTCTGTTAGCATTAGAAGCAGTGTTTTCTCTGTGTATAAAACTATATATACATACATAGCCTGATAAAAAGGCCTGTCTTGTCAAAAGGGACAAATAACTTCCAAAGAACTGAGTACAGACAGGCATTTGGTTTGAACCACTAATACAAACCACATTCCCCTTCCCCCAAAGCACTACAAAGTATTTCACAGAAGGAAAACCCCAAACCCAACAAAAAAACTACCTACACCTAAAGACCACACAAAAATGAAGCTGGACTCACTGACCTCCCTTCTAAGGGCTACAAATAGGCAAAACCCACTCACCCTTCAAAGCCATAAAGGAGCAGCTATAAGCTTGCATCTTTCAACCACAAAAAATAAAAATAAAATCAAAATTCATGAGGGGCAAAGGCCTGCATAGGTGGAAATTTAAGTTCATCTGGAGAACCAAGAAAGGGGCCAAATTGGGGACTCAGGAATGTATAATAGTGTTTAGGTATAATTAATTATATAGCAAGTGAAGTTGTCCATCATCACTACTACTACTGCTTACTGCTTTTATTTTCTTTGGTTTTTTGACCCATGGGAGTTTATATACTTTATTTATTTTTCTCACTCATTATTTCTCACTCACTGTTTCTCATACTGTAACTTAGTCCCAGACACATTGTTGTGCTGTACTGTATGACATCTTCTGCTGGGTCTTATTCAAGAGCTTTAGGGCTCTGGATCCATGACTTCATTTTTGCCTTCCTAACAATGCTGTGTATAATGTTCTGCGTTATGATGCACTGAGGGAGAAAGTTGTATGTACAACTTCAGCCTTCTATCCATGATTCTCATGTAAGGACTGACCAAACAATAAAAACCTAAAAACTGGAACTACAAATGTGATGATTCTAGCCCTGTGAGTTATTGAGAAATGAATGAACCAGTGGCAAATGCTTTTGAATTTAGGTCAGCCAGGCCCAGCCCAATCTGGTTCTGTCTACTGGCCCACACATTGCCAAACCAAAATTGCTTGATATACTGAATTGTTGGATTGCCTGTGTAAAGGGTTTGGGGATTTCTGCTTAGTTTATTATGGAGCAGATAGTCATAATTATGTACAATTTAATTAATTGTACTAGCATGGTTTAAACTTGATTTTGATTAATATATGTTTCAGTTCCAGTAAGGATATTACAATGGGCCAGAGAGAAAACATATGAAAGCCCTTAGTGTTTGCTTCTGTGCAATCATTCTCTCATTTGTGGCTTGACTGTTATGTCCAGCATGTTTTCCGAAGACACTGACATATTTCAAATATAACAGTGAGCTATGATTAAACATTACATGCACAAACAGTGGTGAACCTTGGGCTACGAGGACGATACAAGAACCATTCACTTCTGCTTATAACTAAGAGGAGTTTCAGTTAGGAAAACTGGCTAAAAAATTTGGCTTGAAGAAAACCCAGGACCATAAACCATTGTTTGATTGCAGACCAGTCAGGATTATAAACTACAGTTTGATCCTTGTTTATTGAACAAACCATAGTTTGCCATATTAGAGGAGAGAATGCATGAGCCAAAGCTGCTGTTCATGCATATAACTATAAACTACACTTTAAGCATTACGTCTGAAAAGGACCCACAGTATACATTAATCTAATAGGTGTAGTTACTTCCTTCAACACCCTTTCACTACCCTTAAGGAAACCTAATGCATCTATTGGTCTTCTTGAAATAACTACTGATGCATTATAATTGGTCAAGGAGGGAGACTAATGTTTCTTGACCAGGCCTATTGACCAGTATGCGTTTGCACATGTTGTTAATAATTTATTCTTGGGGGGGAAATCTATGTGCATTATAGTCTTTGATGTCATCATGAATTTCAAAGCCAACCATTTCATTTTCATTTAAAAAAAAAAATTCAAAGAGGGTAGAAAGGAAAATCATTTTAAAACTTTTTTAAATAAAAAAAGTGGGGAACTTCCAGCTAACACTCATCCATGCTAATGAGACTGTACATTAATACAGTTTTTTTTTAATCAAGGCAAGCTTACTGTACTCTGCAGGTGAAAAGTATTTGAATACAAGACTTAATGCATCTAGTAGATTAAAAGAGAAATTAAAGACTTGAGACTGAGAAGAGATCAAAGGCTGTCTTTTCATTGTTCTTTTTTATTGTTTATTGACTTCAAAAAGACTTTTTAGTTTAAGCTGACTTTAATATCTCTTGAATGCTCTTTTGTAAAGTGACTTTGAAAACTCATGGATAATGTCTTCATTAAGTGGAGAAAAATCTTGGTGAAAATATAACTGTAACTTTGCTTTCATTATAGAAGAAAGAGATAACACTTTGCTTAATTAAGGTCTGTTTTCCCTCTGTTCTTAATTTTATGAACATTTTTTTAATTCCTGCTGATAACAGCATGAAGTAGTCATACTCAGATTTAAATTGTTATTTTCCACAGTCATATAACAATGTGAGGTTTGAGTTTACATTCATTAGTAAGGTTGTGGTCATAAGAATTACTTTAGTGAATTGGTCCAGCTTTTTTTTTTTTTTTAAGTATTGGCCACTTAGATATAAATCTAATTGAAATAATTTTCTTGTACTAGTCATTGGCCATGACAAATCTTAATAAAAAATAAATACAAGAAAAAGGGGTGTCACGCCACAAATCATGGTCTCCCTTGCAGTTCACTGCTATATTGTCCAGGGACATATTTCTGATCTTTTGGCCGCCAAAGCAAAATGAGTCACTGAAAACCAGAGCACAGTTAGATATAAAATAAAAGCCCAGAAATATTGCAAGACAGCTATCTTTCCTTATTTGTCTCTATCCTGTGTTTAGAGGCCTCTGAATATTGAGGTTCTGTGTAACTGTTCTGGATGTGAAGCATGAATAGAGCTGTGCTTCAGGCATTTGTGGAGCACCTTTTCAATACAAATCTTAACACATTTCACCATCCACATGTGTTGAGTTACACATGTACAGGATGAGCACAGGTTTCCTGGGGTTTATTTCAGAGCACCAGTGGGAAAATTACACATATGGGGGTGGGGTGGGGATTAGCAATAGGCCAAATTGTGGAATAAAGGCATTTGCACTTAATTGCAAAATATAGAGAATTTGAGCATTTACACAGACAGCATTTGGTTTGAACTAGTGGTCAGGTCTAAGAGGAGAAAGAGATAGAAGGAATCTTATGTCAAATGCAATGTGGAAAATGTGTGACAAGCATCAGATAGACATGTGTGAGTCAAATGAGTTAGGGAGAGACATTAGAATGCAAGTATATGTTGCTGCAGACGTATTCCAAGATGAGGGTGGATGGGTGTTCTCCACGAGGCAGCAGTGAATCAGGTGGTCGTCCTTAGCACTCGGACAGCAGTGATTTCTTTGGCTCTGCTTACACCCTGGGTATTTTATAAGATGCTTCTTATGATCAATGAGCATTGGACATTCAGAGTACAATGACGGGACACTGGAGATAGGCTTGAGCTTTCTTTAGCCCCATATGCCTCAGAACTGACTTTGCAATGGAGTCTTCAATAGCGTGTTTTTAAATTGTTGTAACCTGCTCTGGGTCCATATGGTGAACGGCAGGTAAGAAACATTGTAAAAAGGAATAGTAAAGATTGCAAGTTATGTAACTATCTTTAGCAACAGTAACTGCCGTTTGGTAGGCTGCTGCTGAATGCCAATACAATGTATCTTTCTGGTTTCAGCTAGGAGTACAAAATTCACCCCCTTCCTTCATAAGTGATTGTATAGTCATAACTCGGAAGTGGAACAGAATCCGCTCCAGAAGTCCATTCGACTTCCAAAATATTCAGGAACCAAGGCGCGGCTTCAATCGGAAGCCGCAGCAGTTCCAAAGAACATTCAAAACTGGAACAATCACCTCCAGGTTTGCGGCATTCAGGAGCCAAAACATTTGTTTCACAAGGCGTTAGACCTCCGAGATACGACTGTACTGTAATCTCAACAGTGTTTGAAACCAAGTAATGTTGGAACCTTTCAATTTCTAATGACAGATACAGTGGGGTTTGGTTCCAGGCCTCCACGTGCAAAGGAAGTCCGAAACCCGCAGAACTTCCCCCCTCTGCAAAGAGGGCTGCTTACTGGATTCTGCGAAGGTCCCAGGAGGTTCAGGATGTGGGAAAGTGAGGCAGCACCTTCCTTATCTGCCTCTGGAAGCATCCCAGGCCTCTCCTGCCACCTTCCCAGAGCCTGGGTGCACAGGGGAATTCAATCAATCAGTCAATCAATCAATCAATCAATCAATCACTGGGGATGGCAGGTTTTCCTCACTTTCCATTTATTTATTTAGCCCTCCTCCCTGTATAAGGTTGCAATCGTATGTAAAGTGAGCGTAACTTGCAGACCCACTGTATACTGTTTTCTTCACAGGCATCTAATATTTTCATAAAGTCAATAATATTAAGTCATTAATTGTGTTATGGATTTTATCTAGATTTAATTCTGCACAGAAAAAAATGTTGCTGTCTCTTCTGTTATTTTGATATAACAGTGCTTTCCATTGGGCAGTTTAGCATACAGAAGTTAATTTTGTGGAGTTGTTTTTGTATGCATAGCTGCAAAACAAATTGTGCAATATAAGCATCTTTATGGTGTATATAGCTAACTAGTTTACAAGCATAATCTTTGTGGGTGGTTTAGAAGCTCAATTACCACTGAAATTGAGGGGATAAATGTCCCTACAAGCTTCCATAAAAGTTATGTGTTTTGTGGCACTTACAGGGCTGGGCAGGTTTTGCCGTCCCTTTGCAAACCCTATAGCCTTGTATTTAGAAATAGTATGCAGTCAGTTGTAGATCACTTCTTTGTATGTTTTCCTGAAATTAGTATGGACCACTCAGGGTTTGTTACTGAGGTTTATTTTTTTAGGCTGTAAATGTAAGTAATCTTCTGGATGGCGGCCATTGTCAAGTATACCTAAGTAATTCGTAACACTGTGACCTCTCTTTATTACTTCATTTCCATACACATTCTCATTATTTGGCTAGTGTAGTACAATTGTCCATTTTGTGACCATTCGAGAAACATGTAATCACTTATTTTCATGGGTGTCCATGGGAGCACTTGCCCCCTCCCAGAATGCTAAATATATTTATTTTTTGATGTACACATGAACACACCTAGTTAGTCAGCAAAAGATTTTGATTAATCTCTGAGACCATTCCTATTGAGAGTGTCTGCCAGATTTCAACTTTTGGCATTTTTCTGGAGGAGAGCCTTCCTGGGCCAGCAGGTAGCTCAGGTGAATTTTGCTTGTTTGGATCTAATGATGGTGTTTCTACAAATATTTCAAGATTTGGAAACCTTAGAAATACAGTGATAATATAAGCAAAGGAGTTGTGGTGCTTTTTGTAATAGGGAGAAGCTTAGAGGTGCTGCTGGACCTACCATTACTTTTTGAGGAGCAGGGAGGGAGTGGCCAAGGATAGAAACCAGGCTGGAAACAAAAAGTGCTGGCAAAGTTTTCAGAAGAGTTATAGCAGTGGTCCATCTGCATTCCATATCTGGATTTGCTTTTTACCTCACCAAATATTCGTTTCTCCATGTTGAAGAAAAAGACATCCAAGCCCATGCCAATTCCATTCAGAAGCATTATATACAGTGGTAGCTTGGGTTACGTACGCTTCAGGTTACATACGCTTCAGGTTACAGACTCCACTAACCCAGAAATAGTGCCTCAGGTTAAGAACTTTGCTTCGGGTTGAGAACAGAAATCGTGCTCCGACGGCGCAGCAGGAGCGGGAGGCCCCATTAGCTAAAGTGGTGCTTCAGGTTAAGAACAGTTTCAGGTTAAGTACAGACCTCCGGAACGAATTGAGTACTTAACCCGAGGTACCACTGTACTTGAAAATTTGGGGGATGAATCTGTTGCCTGGTATGAATTGGTAGGCAAAATGATAGATGAAAGAAATGCATTCATCAATCATGCTTCATACACAGCAGTAGCCTTACTGAACTACTGGACCACAGCAAACTGTTCCCTGCTATTGAAACTGCCATCTTTACAGCATTTCCCCTCCCAGTTACAAAATGCACATATGAACTACAGTACTCCGTGCAAGGTGTAAACATGGTTATGTTCAATAATAAGTGAAGATTGGTTGTGTGTTTTGAATGTGTTGAATATCCATAGAGAAAAGTTGAAGATCTATGCCAAGACCGTAAGAGACTCCGTTTCTTGTTTGTGCTATATTTACCTTTTTGTTATGGATACACAAAGATTATCTAAAAGGTCTTGACTGGTTTCAGACCTTATGTCTGGCATTCACTACAGTTTAGGAAGATTATGTGTGAAAGGTGTAAAATTCAGTCTCAGGTGTTTTTAATTTGGTTGAGAGGGAGTTCCACTGAGAAGGTCCTATCTCTCATGCCCACCAGTCTGGCCGATCTTACAGCAGGATCTATGAGGAGAGCCTACACAGCAGATAATCTCAGGGCTCAGGCAGGTTTGCTCAAGTGATGGCCTTCAAATAGCCTTGTGCACAAACATATACAACATACATGATAGAACTGAGAACATACCCTAAAATGCTAAAATGGAAAGGCAAATTTTCAATTCATCTGATAGGTTTCAATCAAAAAGGTCATTTACAGATGCTTGAAGGTAAACAGTATTAAATTTCCAGTTATAGGTAAATTAGGTCAGTTATTTGTATAAATCATTTTGGTAATCCAGGAAAAAAATACATAGGTAGCAAAGCTTCTGCTTCTCAGAGTCAGTGCTATACTGTGGGTTTAGCTGCATTATAGTACAATATAGAGTCCATTTATCTACAAATGGCATTTACTGCCTGGTCTTTTAGGTAGGTAGTGTCATATTATGGCATTGTAGCTTGCTATTTTTATCCAGCATCTCACCTCTGTCTTTCAAAAGATATATATATCTAGCTACAGATTTTCTTTTTCACATATTTTAAACATAGAAAAGCAGCTAGTAGTACTTTTAAGCTCTCTCATGAATCTGTGCATAGATTAACATGGAGTCTATTTAAATTACAGTTGCATTAATTACATATAATATAGTAGCTGCTTAAGATGTCACTTCCTTATGTTTTAATGAGGTTTGAGTACATTTGATATATTGTTACATGGAGGGAAGGAGGTTCTTGCGGGAGTTAGCTAATTTAAGAGGAGGACAGATGGCCATTAGAAATTACCAATTTTTACTACCTATCAGTCAAACAGAAAAGCAAACTCTATAAAGAACAACCTTTGCTTTCGGTTCCTTTTTTAGATACACCGTTTAATAAAGAAAGAAATATAATTGAGAAAGAAATATACCAGTATTTTTGCACTCCAGAGTAGGGGGTTATAACTTTGATTTTATTTTTGTGATATTAGTAATCTTCATTGTACAAGTAACATAAATGTCCAGATGAAAAATCATTGTGAATTTAAATGTGAAATAAGTATCTAATCATAATCAAATCTATTTGAGCTTCCAGAATCTGGAGCTGCTAAAGGTCCAGATTCATTCATTCATTCATTAATAGAATTTATATAATGTTCTTTATTACAAGATAATTTCCAACATAATATCAAAAAATATTACACAAATGAATCAGATCATACAACTCTAATAATTTAAAATCCAATATGAAACAATTATAATCAGCAGATCAAACTCACTAAGACCTTAGGTACCAGTTAAAACCAAAGCAACTTACCGTATGTATCTCCAAAGGCCTGAAAGAACAGGTGTATTGTATAGCATTGTGACCTACTTTACCCCAGCTCTGTGTTTATCACTATACATTTTTGCCCCGTCCTCATTTTCCCTGCTGACACAAGAATCCGGGGAAATTTTCAACCAGTTGGCCACAAGTACGATTTTCTGTGATATTTTTCATCAAAGAGCATTCTGCTTAAAAATACCAGCCTCATACCTGGCATTGCTCAGGCATTCTAAGAAATCAGTTTTGGTTGCAGTTTTGTAAAGTTCAGTCTATCATCTTGATTCAAAATGGCACCTAACTGTATGCAACATCAATGAAAACCTTCTCCTTGATCTCAGAAACAATCGTGCATAATTTGGTTATAGCATCTTTAAAAGTGCTCACATACATAGTGGACAGACAAACAACTTCCCAAAACATCTTAAACAACATGTATAATGCACTAATACACAAGCTGCTCAGTCAAATAGCATCTAGTCATACCCAAACATAGGCAAAAACTTGCTCCCAGATCCCAGGAACCATTATGCAAAATTTGCTTACTGGCCAGCTTCAGATGAAATGCAAGACTAGTAGTACCAAGTCCACTCATATGGACAATCCAAAAAGAAAGGTTTGGTCACAGGCAGGGGTCAAAACACAAGGGTAACAGGAAAGGTGGTACAGAAACACTCCAAGAACAAACACAGGGAAGCCCAGTGACCAAATAGATCACAAAGCAAGTTAGAGTGTTGGTGCAAGAACCAGTACTCAGCCAGTAACTGAATACTTTCAACCAGCAACTTTTAGAGCTCCACCCATATCACAGTTGCAGGTCGTCGGAATTGCCTGAGGGGTAGTTTCCTTGCAAGTAGTCCCTTACTCCCATTGAGTTCTCGTTCTTTAGGTGGGTACTCTAGGGTCTAGTAGTTGATTGGACCTGCACCTTTAGTTGCTGGCTCTCCCCAGACTCATTGGCTTAGCTTCCAGTTTCATGTAGGGGCTCTCTGTGTCTTGCATAGCAGGTTGGGGTGCTGTGACCTCTGAAGATTCCAGATCCCCCTGCTTTGTCTCACTTTCCATTGACCCAGCCTGCTCCTCTGCAATTTTTGCTTTCACAGACAGATCCTCTTCTGAAGAAGATTCTTCCACTGGGAGTGTGAGAGTTATGACATCTTAAGGGATGTCCAAATCACTGCAGTTTTGACAGCCATCATGATTTAAAATGGCATCCAACTGTAGTCAAACCAAAACCTACTCCTCAGTCTCAGGAACCATCAGACAAAATTTGGTGATGATGTCTTAAGAGGTGTCCAAACGCTGATAAAGGTTTAGTACAACCTTTTAAAAAGGCATCCAATTGTAGGCAAACAGAGATGAAAATATTCTCCTTGATTTCAGGAACCATTGCATCAAATTCTGTGGCAATCTGTTGAAAGCCATCTGAATGCATAGATGGAGAGGCAAAAAACTTTCCAAAATATAGATTCAATGACGATGGTGGCTAATTCCTTCTTATGACTAGGAAAGGTTAAAAGTCTTAAATAGAAAGCTAGGTGCATTTTTACATAAACAGTATATTTGCAATTTGCAAATCATAGTATAGCCAAATGTATGTTGGATATCTAAGGGACACCTACATGTCATCTTTAAAAGGTGGAGAATACTGTTCAGGTAGCAGTCTGTGTCTTTATGGCACTTTATTTCCACACCACCTGCTGCAATTAGACAAAATTACTAAGTGGCTAGAATGGTAACTTTATCTATCAGCTGATATTATAATTAATGACTATGGAGCTCCTATTATTGTGTACTTCCAAGACATCAAGTGGAAAGCTGTTGTCATGCTTTAAATAATGAAAAAGTTTCAGGTCTTGATAAATGGCTCAGTTGGATGCAGTTTAGAAAGTTGAGAGCATATGCTTCTGTCATTAGGAACTAAGGATTAGTTACCCTTCATACGACTCTTCAGATCTCTCTAATTCTTTTAGGTATTGTTCAAAATGCGAAAGTATAATAAGAAAATGGTGTGTGGAAAATTCAGTAGATGACTGCTATCATTTATTACCATTTTTAAAGCAACTAGAAGAAATATTGTAAAAGTTGTAATCTTTTGTTTAGATGGCAGCTGTTATTTCTGCTTCTGCTTCCTTTTCTTTAGCAATCTTTTTTTTAAAAAAAGTGTCCAATAATTTAATAAAACAAACTAAAATTGCAATTTTTGAAGTAATATAATGACAAAAAAATGAAATGATGCTGTGACTGTGTGCTTTTCCATCTTGATTTTTTTGCATTTCTGAAGGTCTGCTTTTGTCTCCGTAAATGTCTAGCACTGGAGCAATTTGCATTATTTGGGGGTGTAAATGTTTTCCAGATTTGTCTAATTTTGTTAGACTGCTTTGTGTCATCTGAGAATCACTAATTATTCACAGCATACTACTTCCCTACTTCTGTTAGCAAGGTGTCTCTACTTCTGTTAAGCAATACTAATATGGGTATTGAGGTGAAAAAACAACATTGCTAATTCTTCTGGTTATCATCCCACCCCTCTTAACCTTGTAATGGAGGTAAGTTATTTTACATTTCCCACCAATCCCTACATACCTCCTATTTTTAATAAAGCAAATTGCGTGCCCTTTCAAACATTTTTTTGCACTTTCCATGCCCAAGAGATGAAAAATTCAGAGTGGTCTTATGTCAAAAAAGAAAAGTGGAGAATAATAAAAAACAAAACAAAACAGCTTTTCAGTAGGTGCTGGAGGTCCTGTAGGGATGGGGCCTGTCTGACCTCAAGAGGAAATGTGTTCCGTAAACTTGGGCCCAAAATACTAAATACATGACTGTGAGTTGTGCATCCTAGCCATGGGGAACCACTAACAGTGACACCCTCAAAGGTCTCAGTGATGGGGCAGGGATACAAGGGATTGTACTGCCCTTGATTTATCTTAGATCCAAATTGTTAAGTGTCTTGTAAAGTAATACAAGAATCTTGAACCTGACCCGGTAGTGTATGGGCATCTAGTACAAACTTTTGAGCACTGGAATTATGTACTGCTTGTAGTCTGTCCCTATCAAAATTCTAGCCACAACATTTTTCATCAGCAGGAGCCCCTAGACCAGGGCCAAAGATAGCTCCACATAGAGCACATTGCAATAATTGAGTCTTGAGGTTATCAATGCATAGATCACTATGGCCAGGCTATCCCTGCCCAAGAACAGCCGGGCTGGTAAAAGGCACTCCTAGCCAATGAGCTTCCATTGACAAAGGTGAATCCAGGAACACCCCCAAACTTCAAACTTATTTTTCCAGAGAGAGTTCAACCCCATCCAGAACTGACAACTGGCCGATCTCTCAGGTATAGGAACCACCAAGGTAGTACCACATTCATAGCTATGTTAAGTCCAGGCTGCAAAAATGTGAAACCAGCCCAGTTCAAAATGCTGCTTTCAGCTCTTCTTATTCACATTTAAAAAATCCAATACAAACTAATCTGATCTGCCTGATCAGCTTGATAATAGGTGAATATTTGGGAAAGGTTCAGAAATGATCCAAAATGATAATGGGGCTTAAAGGACACCCCTATGTGGAAAGGTATGCAGGCTTTCCACAGACACCTTGTTGACCACTGTGAGAATAGGACACAGAACCTGATTGGCCTTTGGTCTTATCCAGCAGGCTTTTCTTATGTTTGTACTCAACTGCAGCTGCTGATATAACACTTGGTCAAACAATTTGTCAAACAAATATATTTCCCAAATAGCCTGGAAAACAAGTACCCTTCTTTCCTTTGAAATGTATGAATGATAGGATATTGTGCTGGATATCAGTATAGCAGAATAGGGTAAGCAGGGAAGCTAACATGGTGCACCTTCAGATGTTATACTACATTCCTGACCACTGACCATAATTGTGGAACTACTGGAGGGCTATCCCTGGACTATTAGTGATGCATCATAGTGGATGGGGAGTGGGCATTGATATTTTGTGTGAGAATACCTATTTTTCATCTGTGAAATGTTGGAGAATACCCTACGTGGGCAAACTATTGTATGTGTTGGTATGAGCAGGTGCCCAGCTGTTTGTCATTTTCTACTGCTCCACACCCTCTTAGTGTTTAAATAAAATATTTAGCCTTTGTATGAAATCTTAAATTGCTTTGCGATTATCTTGGACACTCAAAAACAAGACCCACTTGAAAGCCAAATCCAAGCATAGATATTCCGTGGCACGTCTTACAATCTAAATATTGCTCTTAGCCTAATCGAAGCAGCAAGAGTAGTCACAGCAGTTGATGGACTATTTTTCAAATTGATTTCAAAAATGTATTTAAGGGGATGATCTTCTACTCTAGATTACCTATTGATTTTTAATATGAAAAGCTCATTATATAAGCAGTAACTGCATATAAAAACCTAGCAAACCTTTGCATAAATCCTTTAATTGAATTTCCAGAGCCTGTGGTTCTACTTTTTTTTTTTAATTAAATCTATTTCTTTTTTTAAGTGTTACTGTGTAATTTGCATGCTGTGAAGTGGCCCTGTCCCAGATAAAGTGCCATTGATCCTTATTAAACCTCACCTCTGGGCTTGCTGAAAACTAACCGGAAAAATTAAAGTGTTCATGCTGCAATGCACTTACTGCTTGTGTGATAGGATTATGGAAAAAATAATAAAACTAATTTCCAAGACAGAATTTATAATGCAAGATTTTATTTTTTTATTTTTTTCAGTTTGATAAGTAATAGCAAAATCCTATCCAAATATAAATCATATTTTAGCTAGCAACTGCAGCAGTAATTTGGAAAGATAATGTATATTTGATATAATGTCATCATGTATGTGGCTAATCTTTTGTGTTTTAATTTTTTAAACTGTAAATTGAACTGATGATGGCTTCAGCTAAACAGATTAAACAGAGATTGGAACTAAAAGCTGTCTCTTATGGTGTACAATATCTTACATTAGTAGCAATTTCCATTTTATTACTTTGTTATATATATATATTTACAAATTTTGTGTTAACGATTTATGGATTGCAATTACCATGAGAGAGGGGGGTGGGAATGCAACTGGGTATTTTTATCTCTCTTTGTCCTCCCCACCTCATTTTTATGTAATACAAAACATTTGTTATTTTAGAAGCAATAAAATCCCCTAAAGAAATATTCATAATCAATAAGAACACAAAATATGGAATATATTAACTGAGTTATAAAAATGTTTGTAGTACGGCACAAAATGAAAAACACAGCAAGTTATGTACAGTTTAAAGTGTAATCAATTTTAAAGTTGCATATGAGGATATAAATGATAAACAGAAGTAGTAGCATTTTTAGTAAAGGCTGTAACAAAAATAATATATTTATGGCCTACTCCGTTCTTTTTATAGCTCATTAATGTAGAAAACAAACACTGTGTATCCATCTTTTTGAACAGCTTAAAATTCCCTTAAATGATAATTTTTAAAATGGAAGCAGTGTGATCATTTCGCAAGCCTCTCTCTTCAAACACATTTTATTACATAGGATAGGATAGCCAGTTTACATCAGCATCAAAACCATGTCCAGAATTATGTCATATCCTTGAAAAGCCCTAAAAAAACCTTCAAAAACTATAATTGTTATAGGCGTTGATGCGAGTGTTTGTCAGAAAACCACTTAGATTGCTTTAAATTTAAAACTTCTATTAAAGTGAGATTTAAGTTCTTTTCTATTACTCATATTTTATTAAATTTTGCTTTTGCTTTTGCTTTTGCTTTGTTTATATCAATACACAACACTCCCCTCCGCTGCTTCAGAATGGGGAGGAATGGGTTGTATTGGTATGTTCTCTCTGTGTTTCTGGAGGTGAGAAGTTCAATAGACAGCCTATCCTAGGGTTTGGCTTCCTTTAGAATATTACCATACTGTTAATATTTGAGTTTATTTTAAAAATTACAAGTAGAGCATAAGTAGAGGCAAACATCTTGAGATATCCTACAGGGTGCCTCCCAGCCTCCAGCACACTGCTTTGCTTTATCTGTGTGTCAAGGTAGAGTCTTTCTCACTGTCCTCAAAAGTGTTTCCTTTCTCTTTTCAAAAAATGCTTACCTTCTTCCACTAGACTGGCAAAAAAGCACATCACCAAAATAAGAGCAAATAGATTACCGAAGAAAGAGGACAAAAAGAGAGTATGGATTTGTGAGGAATTTGCATGTGCTACTTTTTATGCACAGTAAATCTACATATGTAGAAATATAAGCCTGGATTCTAAGCACTCCTTCCATTGGCAGAGGGAACCAGGATCAAAAAGTAAAGTTCCTGACACCCACAAAAGTTTTCTTTAGGAAGACCCCCAAAATTGTTGAGCCTACCCCAAAAATAATGATTTTAAGCTTTTGGAGCTGTTTCCATTGTGTTGCCGATTTGGCAATATTTCCCCTTGATGCCATTTCTACACCTGAAAACCAGGACATGTCAGGAAAATTCCTAGCCATGACAAGCCTAGCCATATTAGGTGTGCTAGGCAGAGGCAAAGCAGGTGTTGAGCAGTTCTGCCTTATCTCTGTCACCCAGTAGCATCAGGTAAGTAGCTGTGTTGGTCTGACGCAGTCTAAATAAATAAATGAATAAATGAATGAATGAATGAATGAATGTCCAGTAGCACCTTAGAGACCAACTAAGTTTGTTCTGGGTATAAGCTTTCATGTGCACACACACGTCTTCAGATACCCAATGGCATGCCTCTGTCTTCTTCATGCAGAGGACTTACTACTTGCTTGTTCTTTCTCTTGCTTTAAACATAGCCAGAAACCATTTTTTAAACCTCTCTTGCAAGCCTGAGCTCATTCTGAACTTTGGCCCACCTGACATTCTCACTGTCATTGTTGGCTACTTATTTATACTTTTCCTTCCTTGTGTATACTCTTCCTTATACATGCCATTCTTAAATATCAGCACATCTGTAAGCTCCTTATGCGGCCACACCAGTTTCTTTAGATGCATCCCACTTTTCTTTCTTTTTGGAATCATCTGCCTTTGTCTTTCAATATTTCACCTTTCAGAAACTCCCATCCATCTTGGATTACCTTCTCTTTGAGGATTTCTGACCATGGAAACTCATCTAGTAGTTTCTTAAGCTTTTTGTCCTCAGCCGTCTTATTATCCAGAGTGCATGTCCTACTACACTCAGCTTCCCCTTGTCTTTGTATAATGAAACCCAAGAGGACATGATCACTTCCTCCCAGGGTTCCCTGTACTTACACTTCATCAATCAGTTCTTCCCTGTTGGTAAGGATCAGGTCCAGTGAGATGACACTGGTTGATTATTCCACCAACTGGGGTAATGAAATTGTCAGGAAGGCAAGTGAGGAATTTGTTGGACCTCACATTCTTGGCAGAGTTTGAATTCTCACAGATATCATGGTAGCTGAAGTCTTCCATGGCTACTATATCTCTCATTTTTGAATGCTCTAAGAAGGCATACTCCAAGTCCCCAGTCTGTTTTAGAGGTCTATGGCATACAGCCACAATACAGTCACTGTCGTTTACTACAGTTTTTGCCCATACACTCTCAATCTGCCTTCCATGCTCCAGTCATGGATCTCTTCAAAAGTGTACACATCCTTTACATATACTGCTATTCCTTCTCCCTTCTTTTGAGCAGAAATGCTCCCATATGAGCTAGCCTCAGCTGGGATCCTGCCCTAGCTAGAGATGGGTAACTGTCAGATACAGGCCCTGTTTGTTGGTGCCACACTTGGTAGTCTTTCCTCAAACAATTTTCATCAAGCACCTGTTTTGCCATCTTTTATAAGAGCCAGGTGAAGGCTATTTTGTCAACTAGTTCTACTAATAACTTTTGGTAAAGTCTTTGGGCTGAAATAATACTGATAATGTTGTTACTTTTATTCCAGTGTTGATGTTTTTAAAATGATGTGTAAGCCATAGAACAGGCATAGGCAAACTCAGCCCTCCAGATGTTTTGGGACTACAACTCCCACCATCCCTGACTACTGGTCTTGTTAGCTAGGGATGATGGGAGTTGTAGTCTCAAAACATCTGGAGGGCCGAGTTTGCCTATGCCTGCCATAGAAAAATAGAATTGTAGAGATGGAAGGGACCACATCTTGAGGATCAAAGTGGTGGGACATAGAAGTCAGTAGTGGCACCTACCCTGTGGAATGCCTTCCCATCTGATGTTAAGGAGATGAATAATTATATAACATTTAGGAAACATCTGAAGGCAGCCCTGTATAGGGAAGGTTTTTAAGGTTTAATGTTTTACAGTGGTTTTATATATGCTGGAAGTATATATAAACATGTTGCTGTTGTTGTTGGCTTTTTCACTAGTGGAATTGGTATTATGGAATAAACTCCATGCAAAAATTTGAGAGGCCAAACCTGTATTGGAATTCCACCGGCTTTTCAGGGCACACCTGTTTATAGGCATTCCAATGATCTCTTGACCCAAGTATCCTGGTTTAATTGCTTTGCTGTCTAAGTTGCTGTTTTAATGGTTTATCATGTATTTTAACTATTATGTATTTTTAATTATTCTGTATTTTAACAATGTTCTGCAATTAATTTTTTTAATGTTGTAAACCTCTTAAAAGCCTTCTGGGCATTAAGCAGTATATAAATTAATTTAAAATATAAAGGTAAAGGTAAAGGGACCCCTGACTATTAGGTCCAGTTGTGACCGACTCTGGGGTTGCGGCGCTCATCTCGCTTTATTGGCCGAGGGAGCCGGCATACAGCTTCCAGTTCATGTGCAAGCAGACTAAGCCGCTTCTGGTGAACCAGAGCAGCGCACAGAAATATCGTTTACCTTCCCACTGGAGCTGTACCTATTTATCTACTTGCACTTTGACGTGCTTTCGAACTGCTAGGTTGGCAGGAGCAGGGACCGAGCAACGGGAGCTCACCCCGTCGCGGGGATTCGAACCACCGACCTTCTGATCGGCAAGTCCTAGGCTCTGTGGTTTAACCCACAGTGCCACCTGCGTCCCACAATTTAAATATAGAATTAACTAAATAAATAAATAAACAAAAACATTTTAAAATTGACATACAACTTGTGAGGAGTGCATTGTACCTGGCTTCATTACTAAAGACAGCCATTTTAAAAGTAGGACAGCAAGAAAGCAAATCATGCCTGTAAAGTGATTACTGTATTTTCGCCCTATAGGACGCACCGTCCCATAAGGCGCACCTAGTTTTTTGGGGGGGGGAATAAAGGGGGGGAAAATTATTTCCCCCCCAGGCGTGGGGCTGTGGCGGGGGAAGCCCGAGCTTCCCCCGACCCCAGCCCCCAGAACAGGCAACTCTCCGCAAGCCGTGGGAGCCCGGCACCGGGCTCCCGAGCCTTGTGGAGAGCTGCGCGAAGCCTGCATTCGCCCCATAGGACGCACACACATTTCCCCTTCATTTTTGGAGGGGGAAAAGTGTGTCCAATAGGGCGAAAAATACGGTATTTCATAGATTCTGCCCTGAGGATATGTCCGAGCTCAAAATACATAGGGCACTTAATTTCCTAATAATAAATGTGGAAAGTACTAGTTTACTGAATACATAGGTTCCCCTAAAAAGATTGGAGAAATTCCTGCTTCCTGTCCTCTATAATTATGCTTATACATAGAATATTAGGAAGCAGGAAGCAGTGCCAGCATCCCTATAGATGAGTGATCCCCCTCTCCTCAGTACAGCAATAGTGCACAAACAGGTGAGTTGTAAAGAAGCTACATTTCAATGTAACACCCAGCTCCTTCTGCGGTCCCGTTTGCAAATTCTAACACTGCCTCAACTGACTTAGCTTTTGTTGTCCCTAGCAAAAACAAACAAACCACTGTGTCCTTTCCTGCGGCCATGTTACACGAGAGCATTCCTTGCAGCTCTAATATTTACCCAGAGTTTAATAGGTAGGGACTGCCTTCTTCATTTTCAAATTCATGGCTGCTTGGTGGTCTTAATTTTCTCATCATATTCAAAGATGACAGATTAATAGGTGGTTCCCCCTCAACGATGTGGGCAGATCTTAAAAGGATCCCATTAGTTTCTATTACTGGGTAGCGTGCAGGGAAGTGGAAGCAGCTCCTCAATGAAAGTCCACACTGACACCTGCAGTTTCAGGCAAATAATAATAAAATGCACACACGCATGTGCGTGCGCGCACACAGCCATTCATTTAAATGCTTGCAGTCAGCCTTTTAGATAATGATGAAGCAGGCAGCTATCTATAAGGGCTCAAGCAAAAATAAATAAATTTATTTTCTCTTTTTACTGCTATAGAGTAACAAAACTACTCTCCTAAAAATTGTCCCTCAGGGAAAGGAGCACTTAAACTCATTTTTCTAATGTAAATATTAAGGACAACTAAAAGACATATTCAGATGGAATATAAAATAAGATTTCTAGTAAGAGAGAGAGAGAGAGAGAGTGTGTGTGTGTGTGTGTGTGTGTTGTAAAATAACAGAAATCATGGAAGCAATAACAAATATACCTACAACTGCTAGGTGTGATACAAAGATTAAAATAACATGGGCCCCACCTGCTAGCTTACAAAATAAAAGTAAAATCAGCACACACTTGGGAGGAAAGGAAAATAAAAGGAAGGCAAATTTATTGGGGGGGGGGACGGATACTTTGCTGAATGACTCCTGAGATGGTTCAGGAAGCCAGCCTTCTCCCTCCCTAGGTTTCACACTGTGACATAAATGAGGGTGCTTCTAAAAAGCTCAGGAGAGGAGCCAGATTGGGAAGGTGCAATTTCCGTTACTAGTAATTCTAATATCTAATGCAAAGGAATTTTGGCTCCAAGTCAAAATAAACCCTAGGCATTTGTTAATGCAAAATATGTCAAAGGATTCTGCCTCCATATGTGTATATATATATATATATATATATATATATATACTGCAATGGACTCTTAGTAGCAGCTGCCTAAGTTCCTAGGTAACCCTGAAGTTTAATAAACCTGTGCAATGACAATTAAGCATGGTAAATAATTTATCTGCTCAGTCCTTTTAACTGGCCTTCTTATCCCTCTGTAGAAAAGCTGAGCCACTCTGACATCCAGAATACAGTTTGGCAAAAATAAGTGTAGCAAAGAGTGGTAGCATAAAGTGGATTTCCTCTCAATAATATATAAAGCCACATGCTGAGGAGAGGAATCCTCACAAAAGCGGTACCACAGCAATCTGTTCCTTTCATCCACAGCCAGCATTTAAAGAGAAGGTGCTGCTCCGAATCAAAAGCACAATCATTCATTTGTGAGCAGATGTCCCTCACACGGCAGGCAGCGTCTTTTCAAAGCGGAGCTGAACAAATGCACTGCTGTGAGACAAGTTCCCCTGCCCATTAAAGAAAGAACACAGTATATATTAATTTAGCAGGTTGTTGAATGTTTAAAGCAGAATTTATGAAGCAGAAAGAGCATGTGGTGAAATAAAATGGCTTTCAAACTAAATATGAAGAAAGCCCCTGCCCCCTGTTCCCCCCTTGCAAAAATAAAAATAAAATCATTCCTTTCGTCATGTTAAAAAAGGGCAAGGTTTGTTGATGACTGATTATTCAAGAGTATTCAATGCCAGCTTTCCACACCAGTTAACTCAAAG